TTTTCTAACAATGCAGGCAAACTTCTGAATCAGGCACGGAGCGGCTGTGGAATCCTTGCTCTTCTTTTTGGGAGCGGGTGAATTGGCCCTTTTGGTGTCTTTGGTGGCAGCGGCAGCTTTGTCATCATGCTTATAAAAACATTTGTCACCACGTCTGCACTTACCCTGGGCATGATAGATACATGGGGTCTTGGCCATTTCTTCCTTGGACATTTTCTTCCCCTTATCATCTTTGTTGCCCCTTGATGGTGAACGTGTTTTGGTTCTTCTGGGTGATTGTGTTCGTGACTTATCATCCTTAACATGCTTGAATGGACACTTCTTCCCCTTATCGCAGGTACCCTTTTGGAACTTGTAGCAAACTTTATCACCCTGCCACCACGTTCCTGTGATCTACCACGACCCGGAGAACCCCTTCGGCCACCGCGACCATCGCCTTTGGCGGGTGCGGCCTTTGTGTCCTTGATCCCAGCCTTGTTCTTCTCCGCAATGCGGTTCCTGTTTTCCCTCAACCGTTCTCTGTCGATCAAGTTCTTCATGGATTGGTGAAGAAAACTGTAGGACTTTTCATGGGATTTCTCATGTGCACGGTCAAACATCTCAATGTCATATTTCAGCAACTGACTTGGTCGGATCTGTCTCAACAAGATGTCCCTTAACACAGCATCAGCGGGGGTGACAGCCATGCCAGCTAGGGTAGCATCCCATTTGTTGATGAATCTTCTGAGATCCTGGACAGTATCGCCTACTTTGACAACACCCAAAAGATCTTCTACTCTGTAAAGGCTACCTGCTTCTTCTGATGTTTTGAAGTAGTCCTCAAACATGAGCAAAACGTACCTTCCCCTGACCTGGATGCCTTTTCGGGATTGTTGCTCTTTGAAATTCAGGATCCTAGTTGCGAGGTCCCCTCCGGCTGAGCGCGTGAGCGCTGCTGATAGCTTTGTATCCAGCGTGAGGAACTTCCCAGGATCTTGAAGTCTCTTCTCCAACTCCTCTCTGGTGCACTCCTGATCGTACACCTCGTTGAGCCAGAGCCATGCTTCATCTGGACGATCTGAGCAACTCTTCACTTCATCCCTGACATGATTCTTCCAAGTCCTGTATGACTCTGGAGCGGGCATGTTGTTCAGCTTGATGAGCTCGGCCTCCTTAGTCTTTGGCTTATCCTTTTCTTCCCTATGGGCTAAGGCTTTCACCAATTCAATAAGTTCTGAGGGACCCATCACTTGCTGTTGCTTGGTTACGCTCTTAGGAGAGTCATTGGGGGAGTTTTAATAGCTTCAGTGGGAGTGAAAAACCCTGATTGCGTTGGCAACTGGGGCTGGTCGTTGCCGACAGCCGGTTTCTGCTGGGAGCTACCACCTTTGAGCAGCTCATCCAACTTGGCCTTTGCTTCTTGTGCCAACACTGCAGGCGTCTTCAACTCTTGAATCGGCTCATCGCTACCTTTGGCAGCTGGTGCATCGGATGCTCTAGGAGTGGCAATGTTGAAGTGGGGCACACCAGCGATGGTGGCTGGCTCGGCATTCTGGACGGATGCTTTCGGAACGGAGGCATGCTGCGCTTTGGCAACATGCTTTAACTGCTCCTGAAGGTCATCGATTTGGTCCTGAAGGCTGAGGTTCTGTGCCGCTGCCTCGTTGATCTTCTCGGCCATCTCCTTCTTGTAGTTCTCGAATTCCGTTTTCAAACTGATGAACCTGGCCTGATCAATTGCAGCCTGATCTTCATATTGCTTCTTCGTGGCAGCTATGGCATTCTTTGCATGTTCAACTGTTTGTGCATAGGAAGCCTCGAATTCACTAGTGATACGTTGCCTTTCCTCTGCAATCTTCTGATCATGCTTTGTGTTTGCCTCTGCCTTGAAGTCTTCTACCCTTTTGTCATGCGATGCCTGAGCCTGATTTAACCTGACCTCTAACTCATCGCCTCTTTTCCTTTCCTCGTTGACAGCACTAATTGCCTTGCTCTCTACATCCTGCAACCTTTGCTCATACTCCTGCTCTTGCATTACGAGCCTACTTGACCATTCACTTCGGATTGAGTCGACTACTCCATGCATTATCTGAAGGTGCCTCTGTTCAGCTTCCCTCATGACCTGCAGGGTATTCCCACTAGTGATTTGGGACAGGTTGTTTTGTATGAATGTAAAGTACGCTACAACGGGTTGGAACATTGCTTCGTCATCCATCGGCTCGGAGTTGCCTCCGGCCAGATTAGGCACGGCGACAGTCGATGGACCTGACCCTGGAACGGCGAGAGGATGGTCAGTTGGGGTCCCCATAGCAAAGTAGTGAGACTACGGCTGATAACCTGTATATTCACAGGTCAGCCAACAATATAGTATAAACTATAATGGGGTGGACCTACAATAGCCGCTAAGCACTCAGCTCTTTTGAACCAACGCTGCAAGGTAAGATACTTATATCTAGAATACATGGTTTTACTGCAGGAGTTTTTACACTCTCAGACTCTTCTTGGTCAAGAGATAATCCAGGATCCTGCCCGTGTTGGCCGAGGACGTTACTCCAAACAAGTCGTCACGGCCCGGATCCTTCCACCTGAATTCCCTGGCGACAAACCGTGATCTTACGATCCATCGGCCTTGTTTCCACTTGGGGACTTCCTCCCATCGTGTCGTGATAAACTTCTTTCCATGGGACTCTTCTCGGGGCACAGGCACATAGACCTGGTAGTCTGCAAGGCTTTTCAGCTCACGAGCTTTTCCATTGTGCATTTCCTGACCCCATCTCTCTTCATCCCAGGTGTCCGGATGATCAGTAGGATCACCGACCAAGTCATCCGACTCAAGGAAGTCCCATGCTTCGTCTGGCACAGGTGCTGGGGCTTCATCCATAGTCTCATAGACTTGTAGTACCCCGCCTGGCCTTTCAGGGCTGATGCCTTCTTGGTAGTCTTCAGTCCTTGGGTCCAATGCCTCAGCAGGAGTGTCAGCTCGGCGCTTTGAACCTTGACCTGGACTTTCATCCTCCACGACTTGGGTTTTCGTTGGCCTATCCGGCTCAGAACCTTGTCTTTTGTGGCTAGGAGACCTTGGTGATGCCGGAGTCAGGTACCCAGCCGCGCGGCTCGGGCTTTCTTCCCCTTCAGCAGGAGATTCAAATCCCACATCACCAGGCTCTGATCTACCAAGAGGCGTAGTCGGCGCGTAGCCAGAGGATCTATCTTCACCCACGGCTTGCGGTTCAACTGCATCTCCCCCGTGAGTCAAGTTTGACCCATCTGGTTGCGGCACAACCTCACTTGACGGCATGGTGAAATGAACCATCACCTTTGACCGAGGTTTGGCCGGCAGGGCATCCGCCGTGACATCCCACGGAACTCCACGGAAACCAAAGAAGAGCTCGGAATCCCACCCTTTGTCAGGAGTCATTCTCCGCACAGTGCACGCACGCAGCACACCGCGGGCTGTTCCGACAAGATGTTCATCACTCTCTTCCGTCCTGCCCAGCCAAATGCCAGGTTCCATAGCTGCGCCCATTTTCTGAGCTCTCCGGCCACCTTTCAATCTCCGGTGTTTTGGCCTTGGCTCCATGAATAGGACCTTTTCGGCCCAAGGCACAACATCTTGTTTGTACCGCGTCTGGTGCAGCTCTTCAAAACACGTTCGGCCGTTGGCCTTAACGTGAAACCGATTGTGAAGCCATGATGCGTGGCGCACGACCCACGACCAACCTGGATGGCTCGGATGCAGCTTGCACTTGAACCTAAGTTCAGCATGCACCTTCAAGGAATTTGCCAGTTGCCAGTCGTCGCACAGTTTGGACTGCACGCTCGGCACGTCCATTGCTGGCAGAACTGTAGAGAGGAGTTTCTTCGACCAAAGTGGTGTGCTTTTGACTCCACCGGTCTTTGATTTTCTGGACTAAGCTTTTGTGGTGGGCTCGCCGTCGCTGCGTAGCTTCACCTTTTCGTGTCGCATGAGGTGCAGAATTTTTTCCGCCATGTCCACTAGATGAGGATGGTTCTCCGCCCCCTTGGACTTGGCCGGAATGGCAGCCACGTACCCAGTTTCGGCGTCAATCATGAGGAGCACATCTGTGGTCCCCTCAGATTTGCGCCCAGCTTCGTCAGATGAAGCAGCAACAAACCAGTCGAGGCATACCATCGGCAAAAGTATCTTTTCTGGCGGCTCGACTTTGCGATGTGGCAAATCCTTGCCACGGCCTCTGACACAACTTTCGCACCATGGGGTGTACGGAAGGTGCGTCAGCTCATGGAGCTCTCGCTCGACCTGCGACGGTGGCTCAGGACCAACCATCTCCATTGGGTGGCGAGCGAGATCGGGATTTCTGTTGAGGTCTTCCTCTCGTCGGGCTCTTTGGGCCTCGACGCTTCTGTGGTACTCCAGTTCAGCTTCTCGGTCTTGGAGTCTGGCCCAAAGCTGTGCTTTGGTTCCCCAGATCGGCGCTGACAGATGTCGTAATCTGTTTCGCATGTCTGAGGCTCTGCTCTCTTCGGTCAGTTGACCCGGAGGAGCTTCAGCTGACTGCGGTACCGAGGGCTTGTGAAAGATCGTCACGATCCGGTCACCCAATGCAGGGATCAGCGCTGATGCCTCCTCCAGTTGAGACCAGTCCACTCGGTCCTCAACTTTAGTCCATTGACTATCCTTTCTGACACAAGTGGTCCTGAGGAGGTACCGGGAACGTTGCGGGTTCAGCACTTGGAACACTACTGCTCCATGTTTGACCAGGACAGGATCGCCCCCTGGCGTCAATCCCCATCCGGTCTTTTCAGACAGCTTTGGCAACCTCGGCATCAGGTCGTGCGGACTCTGCTGGTCCCGCCACGTCTCCGGACCTGTGCTCGCTCATGCCGTCTCCTGCCTGAGCTTCTTCGGGCTCAGCAATCTCAAGCTCATCCTGTGGGTCAAATCCACCCACAGCGCTTAAACCCAACCGAACCTTTCCAACTGGGTGACTTGGTTGGAACGAGACTTTCCTTTCTTTCCTTTGCCCTTACTCTTGTCTTTTCCTTTATTCTTGCCTTTTCCTTTCTGCTTCCCCTTTAACTTACCCGCAGGCTCACTGGCCCTGGCGGCATCTCGCTTTTGTTTCTTTCGCTGGCACGCTTCATAGTTCGCCTTGCGCTTTTCTTCGCCAGTCATACTGTGACGGGGTTTCCACCTGCTGCTATGGCTCTGGCCTTCCTGGTCCTCAACTTCGACTTCCTCATGGCCGTCTTGGTCCTCACGGTCCCTTTTCCGTGTGTCATCACGTCGATACCTGAGGTTAGACTCTTCACTGTCATCTTCTGATGACAGTCCACCGTAGTCAGCAGACCCTTGGGTTTGGTCGTGATCTGGAGGTTGGACAGCCTCATCCATTGCAGGCTTTGTGACCTCTTTCGGCGGTCTAGGAGGTGGAGGGTTTTCCGCCTCTCATGTCTTTCAGTCTCAACCAGCCTGAGCGGCTCGGTCTTGCCTGTTGCAGGCTTCGCAGGCTCGGCCCCTCCAACGGGAGAGTCAAGCTTTGACTCCTCTCTTGGCCGCGTCCGAGGCCGTTCGGAGGCTGAACCCGGTCTTGACTCATTTTCCTGACGCCGTGTTCGGTGTTTCTTCTTCTTCTTCCTGGGTTCCTTCTCTTCGGGCTCCTTTTCCTCTTCTTCCTCTTCCTCACAGTCAGAACTGCTGGGCTCTGGGTCAACCCCAAGCCTTTGTCGGAACTTGACGTGAGAATCGGTCAAGTGAAGCATTTTGATTCCACTGACCTGGCTGACTGAGCTCTCGGCTTCAGGCGCCTTGAGGAAGAAGGGAACATAGTAGGAATGTTGCACTTTCTTGACTTGGCATTCCCAACCTTGCTTGGTGAACTTAGGAGTTCCACCATCTTCTCCCTTGTGTCCCGAGTCAAAGCTGATTCCAAGAGACTCACTCAGCTTTCCCAGGGATAAGATTGGTTGTCTGACTGGACCAATCAGGAACGTCACTTTCACGTTGATGTGCGTCCCATCCGTTGATTTGACACACAACTTGACTGTCTTTCCCAGGGACTTGTGTTGGATCTCCTGGCCCTGGGCATCCCGCAGTCGCGGTGCCTTCCCGAGTGTCCCGACTTCCGCCCACGGCGCTTGGCGGACACATATGTTTCATCTGACCCGCTGTCAAGCAGAGCCAGACCGTGCCCCTTTGCCGTTGCGCTACACACTCCAGTGGTGGTAGCTCTGAGTTCAGTCTCAGGGGATGTGTCAGCTTCCTTACGTGACAAAGCAGCCACGCTTCCACCGGTCCCGGAACTGGCTGTGCCTCCCGTTCCTGACCCAGTGCTTGCGGCCTGGACTCTTGGTCCCTTCTGGTCCTTGTCTTTGAACCTTTGGTAGCATTTATTTGCGGTATGGTTCTGCTTCCCACAGATTTGGCACTTCTCTTTGGCAGGCTCGCTGTCCTTGCCTTTTCCCTTGCCAGCATGGCCTTTTCCTTTTCCTTTTGCTTTGGCTGACTCCTTGTCTTTGAACCAGCACTTACCCTGATGGGTTTTCCCGCAGATTTTGCAGGAACCCTTTTGGCCTTTGCCACCTTTTGACTTTCCCCCTTTAATTTGGTCGACCTCCATGGGCACGACACCGCCATGATCGTACACAGCTTCTGGCTTCAGAGGCTCGTATCTCCTGTCTGCAACTTCATACTCAGACACAGCCTTCTTGATTGCTTGGTAGTCCGAGTCGTCTTTGACAAGGAGATTGACATGCAGGCTGCCCTGCTCTCTATGATGATGGAGAGATCGGGGGGGAGTTGATCAAGAAGAAGAAAGCCTTCAGCGATGTTGGCGACCAGGAGACTATCCTCAAGGAAAGGTGGACTGCCGCCAAATTTGTGCAACATCAAATGAGAATCGTGCTTGACAACGGCATCCTCATCACACAAGAGTTGGTTCTCTGTCCCTTTCTCTTTCTGGTGGTCCGTTTTGACCGCTGAACGGCCCAAATCCTGCAAAACGGATCTGCCCCGGTGGGTGGGTGGTGGGTGGGGGGTGGGGGGTGGGGTGGGTAATAACGTTCATGTTCCTGTACACACACAGGCACGGCAACCTCATCACACAAGAGCTGGGTCTCTGTCAGCTGGGTCTCTGTCCCTTTCTCTTTCTGCTGGTCCGTTTTGGCCGCTGAATGGCCCAAATCCTGCAAAACGGCGCTTGCGGTTGCGGTCCGGCAAGGCCCACTGAGATCTTGAGCTGGTTGAGAAGGATAAGAAGGAGGACAAGAGCTCTTACAAAATCTAACAACACTCACCTGGCAGGTCGGGAAATATGCACAAGTTACATTTCTTTTTTTTGAACATGTCCGACTGCCTTCTCTCTGATCACGGAATGTGCATATGCATGTGTATTGACATATATATATATATATACCGCGCAATCATACATTTCAGTCAATACTCAATACTCATTGCGACCAACCCACGCCGGTGTCAGCACTGGAATTTGTCTGTCGCGCTATCTCCTTCTCCACTCCAACCGTGCGCATGCGCCACCAGTGGCTTCACTGTAACGTGTTCATGGAAATTTCCGCGTCACAACCGAGGGGCTTTCCCTACCTATCTATCTATCTATCTATCTATCTATCTATCTATTTTTGGTGACATTCTGGCTTCCTATCTTTTCCGGCAAAAAAAGCAGAAGACGTCCTCACATCTGGAAGAAATCACCATGAGGGTATGGCTCAAGAGTCAGCCAGCTCGATCTAAACATGGCCAGTTCAATATTTCTGACTATTAATCCGCCATCCTACACATGGGGCTCCCCATATTTTTCCCAAAAAATCAGCAAAAGTTTCATAGTGTCACCCCCAAACATTCCAAAGAGCCCTGTTTTTCGCGGCACCCAGTGTAGATTTCAGGCAGCTACCCGCAACCATAACCAGGCTATCCGCAACATTTTTGGGCTTTTCGCAGCCGCTTTGAAGGATGTAGGCCGCTCAGACAACAAAACAAGCCAACAAGATGGGGACAGAACAGCTGGGGAAACCCGTTCTGCAGGATTGGCCGCCCAGAGGCCAAAGCGGAGCAACAGAGAATGAAAAGAAGCAGAAAAACAATAGAACAGCTGGAGGAACTCGTTTTGAAACGCAACCTCGATGTCACCATGCAACACACAAATGGGCACGCATTAGACACATACCGCGCGTCAAATCCGAGGGAAAACGACAGAAACGCAAAGTCGATGTCACCAGGCACAACACGTGCCACACAAGGAGACCATCGATGGCACAAAGTGCCATGCCACGCAAAAACACACCTCGCGTCACAACCGAGGGCACGCGTCACATCCGAGGAAACGCGTCCGCGTCACATCTGAGGGAGATTTCCGCGTCACAAACGAGGGGCTTTCGACCAAGCACACCTGCAATACTTGTATGCTTCTCATCTCGCTCACGTCCAAGATCCTTCAATCTCATACAGGTTGATGTTGTTAAACGCGGAGTTTCCCGCTGGACTTTGGACCAAAAAGCATCACAGCACAAGCAAAATCATCCAAAAAACCATCCAAAAAACACATCTGTTCTTTTTGGAGTGGAAGTACAGACTGCCTTGACTTCGCAAAATGCATCACCTGCAGCTCTCCGTGATTTTCGTCGCTCTGCGTCCAATTTCAGGACGTCGGAGGAGCGGTTTCTGTCTTTGGAGACCTCCAGGGTTCACGGCTAATCTGTTGCAGAGTCGCAACACAATGCAACACATCTAAGAATCTAAGATGCTCACTGAGCCGTCCTCTGCCTGCAAGGCGAATGATGGGTCCTATGATGGGTTTATCAATTGTTGTTTCACCCACTATCTTTGAATACTGCTTGCATGGCAGATCTTTCGCAATAGTGCTTCAGCAGAAGCTTTCATTTAGGGGCTGCAAAAAACCTTACGCACGCATACAAAATTTGTGAAGGCTCACGTTGGGAAGCTGCGCGACGGACATCTTTTGACCGATTTTTCCATGAAGACACTCTGCACGTATTCTTTGTGAGAAGCTTGAATTCTACGCACACCGTTTCAATTTGGGAAGTGTTTTCAAAACAAGAAAATGAAGCATGGCCACTTACTCCCCCACGTAAGCTCAACGTCTGCGGGTCCATGCCCCAGCTTGGATCTTTGATTTCATTTGATTTCTAAGGCTGGCATCCAGTGTGGAAAGTCAAATGGTGTGACTGGTTCGTGCAGCATTCCTATTTGGGTTCCTTGCGAATTTTTGCACCCTTGATGAGAATGGTTGGTTTCGCAACGTGGGAGTTTGTTGAACATAAAATACGGCGGGAGCACATCAGTTCAAACGAGCGCAGGTCCCTTCAAATTATTTCATTCCTGCCAGCATGTTTGTTTCTTTCAAAGAAACAACATAGATAGTGCTTAAGTTACCTTTGATACATAGCAACAACCTAGCGTAAAAATGACATGTAGAAGAACTCAGAAAGTCTATGATATGCCTATCGATTACTTTGAAGCGATCAGTTGCACTTTGTTTCGACTATCGTAGACTACGAATTCCAAGAAATCATCGGAACACATCCCTATGAATGGAACCCAGTTGTTGGATTGATACTTAATATTGCTGTTGGTGTCTTGTTGGAACTTAGATTGTGGCGATTTCAGGGGAGAAAACAAGAGACCATGGAGTCTTGGATGCCAACAATGGATGCTAAAGCCCACAAGTCTTGGAGCCTGCGCTTTGGGTGGCTCTGCCATGAAGGGGATCAGCCTTGGCAGAAAAAGATTCTGAAAATTGCACTTTCCTTTGGAGCAAGGATAATGTGATAGCTAATTTCAAGCATGTATCCCAGTGCCAATGGGTACCAATGCAGAGATTCGATGGGAAGTTCGGTACATCAATGTACATCAAATATCACAAACATTCGTAATCTGAAAAATTCGAAATTAGAAGATATTAGAAGGAACAAATCCGTGACTGAGTTGCACCTGTGGCATCCTGGGACTCAGTTGGGACACATACATATCAGACACATCAGACACTGCCCCAGCATTTTCAGCATCCCCACAGCACGAGTCGAGCAATCTCGACAAAGTTGCCCTTTGGCACATCAAGGGTGGTGATCAGCAACTTTGTTGATGCTTTGGAGCCTGTGGAGCCTGTGGAGCCTGTGGAGCCTGTGACCACCAATGGACCCGAGTCAGCTAATGTCCTGACTTTCGGAAGTTGAGCGAAAGAACGCGCGAATCTGTTGGTGTGAATCACCCTCGACTGATTCTGCACCCGAATCTCAAATGTACTGCCATCTGGACCCCAAGTGTGCTCTACGTACATCACAAACACATGAGTAGTGCACTGCGGGAGTGATAGCTCCAGCACGGCTCCTGGTCCTGTTGCATACATCGTCATTTTCTGAGATGCGCGAATCATCCCAGTTATGTCTCCGTATTGAAACCCTGACATGGTAAAGTTCAAGGTGTCCAGTCCAACCTGCGGCAGAACCGTCGGCAGGCTGTGATCGTATTGAAGGCCATAGATCCCAACGCATTGGGCTCGATGCTCCAACGAATTGGGCTTGGCGCTCTCAGGGCTCCAGGAACTAGGTTCGATCCACGACAAAGCCTTCAGCACCGTCCATGACACTGACAGTGCCACCAACTCCTGGTACAGTTGACCTCCATGCTTCAGAGCGCTGGAAAACTTCTGCATGCATGTTTTCAACGTTTTTTGGCGCTTTGCTTCTGCTGCAGCTTCTTCTTTGGTTTGTCCTCGTGGTGCCTCGGTTTCTGCTGCTGCATGGCAGTGCTCTGGCGCTCGATCGAACAAAAGTCGAGTTGTAAATGGCGGCATCCATCTCCACCACATGGCGGCTGCATCACGAAAAGCGACGAAGCATCCGGAGCTGTGTTGGGAGCCGTGTGAAGCGTTGGCTTTGTTGGCCATCAAGTAGTTCAATGCAAAGTGTTTGTATGCAAAGCTTCCATCAATCAGATCCGGTTTCCTTAATCCTAACGCGAAAAGGTCCAAAAAAATAATGAATCGTGAAATCTTAGCAGCCAGTGCTGCCCACTGCTGCAAATTTTCAAGGTTTGGCTCATTGAGTGTCCATTCGCCAATGATGATATCATACTGATGCTGCGGTGGGCACAATAACCAAAATCTAGTTCCGGTGGCACCAATGGCATTGCTTTCGACAATCACCGGTAGTTCCAAAGC